ATTATCAATCAGTCATTCATTGTATTAATAATAACAACATTTTTTAATTACTTTTTAAATTTATTTTTATTTTATTAATTCATAGATTAATTGTTTATCACTTATTAATACTTAATATTTATATACATATTATATTTGAATTAAAATTATTGATTTTGTACTAAAATTTAAATGTGTTTTAATTATAGTTGTTATCTATTTATAGTAAATAATAATTAGTACATTAATTAAATGTAGATTATAAAAGATGTGGGGGTATAAGTGGTAAATATAGATCATGGTTATAATTGAGTTATGATATCTTCATATGTGGTATAGAATTAGTGCACTTTATTGTTCGCTATAACGGGGTTTGTATTGCAAACTGTCGTCAAGTATTGGACACAACATTGAGTGCATTGAAAGTGAGTGTCATTTGAGGCAATCATAGCATCGATTCGAACGACTATTGCATTGAATAAGTGGTCTATAATTAGTTGTCAGCCATTGATTGGACGCCTAATTAAGCGCTCATTCGTAGCGTTAGTGTTGAGTGTTTCGAACGTGTGGTTAGTCTTCGCGCTCTTTCTTCGCACAAACCGTTCGTTCGATTCATTCATCCATTCATTGAAAGGAAAGCCTTTGAGAAGAGAAGACATCACTCGAAGTGTTGACACAATTCACACATCATTTGCTTTCAATACAAAGCACTCAACGCTATAATGGATGGCAAAGCGAACAGTGAAGACGTGGTGTCCGTCGGCGGCGATGGAGACGACCAGAAGAGCGGCGAAGTGGAGGCCATCGATGGCGAGTCGACCGCCAAGAAGTTGGAAGTGTCGGCCTATAAGACGGGCAGCGCTTTAAGTAATGCTCTACTTCTTAAGGCTTCGGCGGAATTCACTCTCCAAAAGCTGATCCAATACAAGGATGTGTGGATCCAAATGAGGTCCAAAGTGTTTGAGATGAAGACAGCGCTCGACAACAAGGACTCAGACGCTGGCGATCGGATCCAGAGTATGGAGTGTTTGCAAAGACAGATGGAGTCTCTCGTCGACCACTTTGAGACCCGAAATATGAAACTTCAGGTGATTATAGCGTTACCATTGACTGCCACTGTCCTCACGAGTGGCTGTTTTGTTGTCGCGAATGTGTTTTATAATTGCTTTTTGTTGTCATTCATAGGAATTGAATGCAAATCTGATCCAAAGAGTCCACGAATCGTCTCTTGACAACAATTGGGTTGACTCTCATATCGCATAACAATTCATTTAATTTATTATTATTTATTTTTTTGCTTTAATTTGTGTTAATTTTTAATTAAAATTTTATCTAATATTTAAATACTTGACATTTTATGCAAAGTTTTGTTTAAATAAATGAATTACTATTTAACGTAAAATGCATTTATTATTAAAACTAATTGATTGTGATATTAATGGCACACAAATACATGATTAGTCTTACAGCGCATCCATTAGGAGATAAATATATATACAAAACAACAATCATTTATAATAATCACACGAATTATGTAACAAATCATAGAATTATGAATTGTATGAAAGGCTGTATTCACACAAATATGTGTTCAGAGATTCTGTTATTATTTTTCATTACATTTCATCCCATAATCTGTTGAATAGTTTTAAACTTTTTGTGTTTTATTTGTTTATAATTATGAATTGTATGAAAGGCTGTATTCACACAAATATGTGTTCAGAGATTCTGTTATTATTTTTCATTACATTTCATCCGATAATCTGTTGAATAGTTTTATACTTTTTGTGTTTTATTTGTTTATCAAACGATCGGTTTATTCATTGGGAATAAAATGCATTAATCAATCACTAACTCAAATATTTCTCCACAAAATTTATTAAACATTATAAAAGAGATGACATTATCATAAAATTTGAGACTTTATTTTATTTGTTGAGAAAATTAAATGTAAAAACATTTTCTTCGGCCAAAAAATATTTGCCATAAATTTTCAATTTGTTTCTCATACATAAAATCTTATTTATCTAATTAATTAATTAAGATAATTAATAAAAACAGAAAATAATGATAAAAAATAAGACAAATATTATAGGAATGACAAGAATTGCTCTCAAAATGTAAAGCTCTGACAACTTTGGGGGCTATTTATGAGCGAATAAATGATAGACTTTCACTCAAAAGCCTTTGAAATTCCTTACATTTAATGCAAACCTTATTTAATAATTGTTTTGATATTTAAATAAAAACTTCATAATTATTGCAATTATTATATAAACTATAAAATTAATACTAATTATTGTTTTCATTGCATTACATACTGATTATAAATACACAAATGATTATAACAAATATTTGTTTCAAATTATTAGTAAAACTAAATGAATATAATTATTAATTATTAAAAACAATATCGGATTACAAAATATTTAAAAACTTTTAAAACAATTTACAGCAAAACTTAGAGTAACTCTTTCACAGACTAGACTCCAAAATGTGATAACCTATAGATTAAATTCACACACTTTTGATGATAATATTCTTAGGAATCGTGACATTCATATCATTGAGACGCTGAAGAAGCCTTCCTTCGATGGGAAATCCCAATAAAAGTTTGAAATACTTTTTCGATACCATATTTTCACTGCAATATAATATAAATGCTAACAATTGCTGTCCGTTTACTTTCAATTCACACGTTTCGAACGACATTACGTTGAGTTGAGTGAAGAGTTTTAGATCTTTGCAATCAATGGTAAAACTATGGATACACCAGAAAAAGAGGTCCAATCGCTTGAGTCGAGGCAATTGCGATACAAATTGCATACATTTGTGAACACATTGTCGACAAACAGTGTACTCGTTGTCCGGCGGCTGTTGTCCAGCGTTTCCAATGCACTCGCAATTGATTTTAATATCGTTGAGTTCTATGCGCTTAACGTTGGGATAGATTTGCATTAATTGGCTAAACATATGGGGATTACATTTCACATGATTTAATGACAATGACTTGAGTGATGGCATCGATTGCATTATATTTGTGTCAAAATCAAAGTCTGAATTTACAGACAAATGTCTCAATTGATTCAATTTTGAGATGTTTTCAGCGAAGACATCTGCGGAGAGGCGTAAATCTCTCAATACAAACGTAAATTGTTTGAGTTTGAAATGAGTGCAAATCTTTGGAAATATCTGATCCCATCCATTGCCACAACCATAGCCTATCTCCAGGTCTTCCAAATGTGGACATCTCTGTATCAGTACATCCAATGATAACTCATCGTTAGACATATGTTTGATTTTAAGGAAACGAATATTTTCTGGCAAATATTGAATGATAGATGTGTCTATAACACCATGGTCATCAAACACAAGCCCTAATTCAATGGATTCAAGTGATGATAATTGTGGCAAAAGTTGTCGCACAGTATAGTCATGCATGTAATTGAGTCTCAAATAAGACAATTGAGATAATAATACTTTCCATGGGTTTATGAGCTCTTCGTTGATCTCAATACCATTCAAATACAATCTCTTGAGTTGTGGACATCGACTGATAATATCATCGATTATCTCCTCATTGAGTGAAACTTCTCCCAAATTCATACACTTTATGTTAAAACACTTCCCGAGTATTAAATCCAATGTGTCTTTGCTTTCAATCAAATCGTATTCAAATGTTGCGATTCTTTTGCGATTGTGAGGCGATTCGCGGTGTTTGCAGACAATGGCATCACTGATGTAACCGGCAATTAATAAGTGGACATCTTTATGACGACAGTTATGGACACATCCAACCATCAATCCATTCTTCCTCTGGAGAGCACTTCCCAAACTTGGATTCATTCTTCCGATGCAATCCATGAATTGCTTGCAAACCGACTCTAATCTTAACAATTGTTTGACATCTAATTCATCGAAAATCAGTCCCAAGACGTCGTCATTCAAGACATGACTTCTTCGTGAATCCATGTCTTCAACGGACACTCAATTTGTCATAAAATAGTTAACACTTTAATTAAACTCAATTAAAACACGTGTTTATAATTGAATTAAAACAAAACTCAATTCATGGATAGACTTAACAGTAAAACCTGAAACACAAGTCTATTAATGAAAGATTAATAAATGATAAAAATGTATTCAAAACGTTGTGTTCAATAATAAGCCGATTATTAATCAATTGATTATTTATAAATCAATGATTCATTGTATGGAAAAATATTACCATTTTATACATATTTTTCAATTAATTGTCACAAAAAACAACTGAATGTGAAATTAATGCAAGTTTTTTAGAGTTAATTACAGATTATTTTAAACACAAACTTATCATCAAATGATAGATACAATAACTCAACAGTAGTTCACATCAATTATCACCAAATCTATCAAAACTATATTTTGAGTCAAATTTAAACATTTTAATTAATTTTAAAGCTATTTAATTACTTATAAAATCATAATTGAAATTACATATCAAAGCCTATTATCTTATGAATAGTGAACGTAATTGTGGCTAAAGTTTCAAACTTTTATATAGGACCCAAAAGTGTGACAGTATTTGTGTGTTAACCCAACTCAGCGTTTAAAGGCATCGCAAACCACACGTGCTTTCAGTCTTGCGATACAAACACTAAAACACCACTTATTTTGCCAACCATTTGATTGTCACCGCATTTGATCCACTCTTGACTGTTGTCTACATTGAAAGACAACTGATTTTTGTTGTGGTAATTGACGTTAGAGTTTGTCTTATATCTACTCTTCGATGACGAGTGAGGAAATGGTGTCTCAAGAGGACAGCAAACAGTCGGTGGCCGACGAGTTGGAGACCAAAATCATACAACAGATTGAGGTATGGATTCACTGGTGATTATCATTGACGACCACTCGATGGCCGGAACCGGTCAATGGGTTGGACAATAAACTTATGATCGTTTTGTTCACGTTTTTTTGTCTTCAGTACTACTTCTCTGACATCAATCTAAACAGAGATAAGTTTATGAAGGAATTGATGACTAAAGACGACGGATGTAAGTATTGATACCACCGATTGTGGCGACGACAGCCGTTATAATGGATGTCATACTCAAGAATTTGGTCAAAGTGTCGGTGAGTCGTGTTGTCTGGTCTTTAATACTGATCGCTTCGCTGATACCACCCGTCAAATCGGCCAAACCTTTCGGGGAAAAAATTATTATAATTTCAAAGTATTCATCGCTGCATACCATCCAAGGAGTTGCCGTATTTGAGCGCTTCGTAACTGCCGTGAAGTTTACAGTAGGCCTTCTCGAGGAGTGCTGTCCAGAATTGGTTGCCGTGAAGGGCCTGAATGAAGATGAGCTTATTGTTGACGGTGGGCAACCGGTCGTCCACCAGAACCTCTTTCCACTCGCCGTTCCACCTGTCAGTCCGTCCAAAAACATATGTGTTTTAATTACAAAACTTAATCAAAATAAACAAAAGTCATACCAAATCCTGAACCGAAACATTCCGCAATACTCTTCGGCCTCAAAACTCTGATCCGCGGGAACCACGCGATAGAACAGACCTTTCGTCGTCCGCAAACACCCGATAACCGAAGCGAACCATTGATCACCTGTTTGTTTGTGGCATACATTTTGGGGTTAATTTAATTACTATAGAAAAGTTTTATTTACTTACCAAGTTTTCCGGCGCTTAGATTGAAGTAATTGTTGGGAGAATCGGACAGAAAGACCGGATTCGGGACCAACTCTTTCGGTCGCTTCCATACGAACTGAAAGGGCGGCGTCTCGTGATAGAAGACCGACGACTGGCCGCACACAAAGTCGTTATCCTCGAAGAGTTCCCCCTTTTTTAGCAAACTTTTCCTTAACTTCTCGAACTCAGACATCACTTCTCTCACAGTATTTCTCTCACACTATATATTAATTAGCGGTTAATCTAATTAATCTAATTAATTGCCAAACTTTCGCATTTGAAAATAAATCAGCTAATGTAAACATCACTAGTGTCTGACACATATAGATAGAGAAGTAGTGAATATTATTTTGAGTTAATCGCTACTTTAACTTGCGATGGTAGCTGAGTCATCAGGTACTCTTGAGTGACAGTTAATAATTAAATAGCCATAAGATTGCTGTCGATTTAAGTGATTGATTTCACACACATATCGCTCACTAACGCTATACTCTCTCAACACATACCCGACACACAACCAAAAACGCATAGACAGTGATCACAAGAGAGTGGCAACAATTAATTGATTGACACTTTACAAGACATGCATACAACACACACACACACACAGCACTTCTGTGGTGACCTTAATGTTACGTTATATACAGCCTAAACAGAGAGAGATTACATTATCCGATCTGTGGATCTAAAACGGGCTAAAAATGGCTTTAAAGAGTAGCCCCTCTAATAATGTAACGCAATCTCCAAGAAATAGCCAAAACACCTGAAAACTATCGCTACATAACTAGATGTTGGGCACAGTATATGTTGTTATGTAAGTTGTATAAAGTTGTTCAGCCCCTGAGGCGGAACTGGAGGTTACACCTGTATCTATAATTACACAAATATTGGGGTATAGTATGTATGAGATCTCTATGAAGTGCTGGTGTGCTGTACAGTGCTCCACTTTGCAAGTTGCCGAGGCACACTAACTGGAATTGAATGTATAGCAATAACGGTATGTTATTAGGTAACTGAAAATTAGATTTGTTTATGGTGAGAACACAATATATACGACAAATTATTATTCAGCAATTCGTATCCAATTATGTATAAGCGGCTAATGTTAACGATTCAATCAAATCGACTCCACTTTATTTTAATGGCTAAACACAATAAACAGGAAAAATAGATTTAATCATTTGTTTTTTCAATAACTTTTATTTCAATAATCAAAATATTTTGTGATATACTTATAAACCAATATATTTCTTAAATGATAACTTAATTTAAGTGTTAAGTTGTCGACAAAACAAACCATTTTATGTTTTCATCCATTTAAAAAACAAATATTAATGGAAAGCAAACAAAATAACATTAAATTCATGTGATTTATAATGAAATGATAGTCAAAGAGATTATAAAAAGGGAATAATAATGACAATTAAAGAGCGTTTAATGGATATTATATTTAATTTTAGGTGAAACGTTCAACGGCTCCGTGTGATTGACCTTAACTTACATATCGTTATTGCCATACAATAATCCATTGACTTTTAATCTAAACAAATACCACTCTTGTGTTATATATGCTGTTTAATAATAATAGCAATTCGTATCCAATTATGTATAAGCGGCTAATGTTAACGATTCAATCAAATCGACTCCACTTTATTTTAATGGCTAAACACAATAAACAGGAAAAATAGTTTTAATGAATTTGTTTTTTAAATAACTTTTATTTCAATAATCAAAATATTTTGTGATATACTTTATAAACCAATATATTTCTTAAATGATAACTTAATTTAAGTGTTAAGTTGTCGACAAAACAAACCATTTTATGTTTTCATCAATTAAACAAACTAATTACCTTTCGTTTGTTTTATTGTAATTTAAGTACACTAAATATTACTTTACTATCAGTTTCTCTAATATTTTTCCCTTATTATTACTGTTAATTTCTCGCAAATTACCTATAATATAAATTAAAGAAACGGATTTAGTCTAAAATCTAATCCATATTTATATATAAATAGGTGTCAAACTTAATCGGATTCATTTCGGGTCCGTTTGCCATTAGAATCACCGCGTGATCCCTGATATCCACGCTTTCGGTTCTCTGCAAATACAAAAACGTGACATTAGTTTCGCAATCAATTGGTTTAAGTCTAAGATATGGTAGATGTGGAAGAATATAAGGTCACATACTATTCCAACCACCGCCGCCGCCACCCTGGCGTTTGCCGCCATGTTGATATTTCTTATCGTTGCGCCTCTTATTGCTTAGAATCCTATTCTTCGTAAACTCATTCCAATAGAGAATCTCGTCGTCTCCGGTCAGCACTTCGGCCACCGCTTCTTTGCCGCAGATCAACACTTTTATCACTTCCGTCGCCTTCGTGTCCTGTTTTACGGCCGCCGAGTCCTCCTCTTTGACAACCGCTGAGTCCTCCACTTTCATGTCCACCGAGTCTTCCTTTTTAACGTCTGCCGATTCCTCCGCTTTCACGTCCACTGAGTCCTCCTTTTTAACGTCTGAGGATTCCTCCGCTTTCACCGCCAATTTTGCCTTCTCTAACGCTTTGGTCGCCCCGTTTTCGGACGCGAATCGTATAAAACTCTGATAAAAACCAAAGCAAAAAACATTAAAACAACTGACCATAAGATCATACAAAACAAACACCAATAGCGCACCTCTTTCTGGCCGTTAACGGCCTCAACGTATGACACGTCGCCGTACTTTTGGAACAGCTCTTTAATCTCCTTATAGTCGATGCCATCGGCGATGTCCTTCAGCTTAAGCACTCCGCCCGCGTATCGCACGTTACTTATGGCCACTGTTTCGGCCTTAGCCTCGCTGTTCTCGTCGGCATTTGGCTCAGATTTAGGCGAGTTTTTGGCCCCCCGTTTGCCCCTACGCTCGGCGTACTCTTTCTTTCGCAAAAAATACTTAACTCTAAGTTTCGGGAAATTAAATGAAAAAAGACAATTCATTTATTGATTGCAATTTATTTGACGAGATTTGAGATCAGAATTATATAAAAAATATATCAAATTTTGTTTCCATAACATTATTAAGTATTCAAAATTAAGTATTCATTTAAGTAATGATATTAAGTATTCAAATATATTTAGTACTTATTTTCGCGCAACAAGTCTTTGCCGTTGTATTTGACTTCATCGGCGGTCAACAGCTTTTCGGCCGACTCTTTGGCCGCGAAGACCACAAATATACAGCCCTATGGGAAGCACACAATCAGTTACAACA